AAAACAGTATCTTTAAAATGCTGAAAGAAAGTTGTCAACCTATAATTCTATATCCAGCTGAAATCTTTCAGAATGATAGGGAAATAAAGCTTTGGTGGGTTTGGTTTTATTTGGATTGTTTTTCGAGAGAAACAAAACCTGAGAGGATTCTTCACCAAAAGACCTGTGCTACAAAAAATGTTAAAGCAAGTTCTTCAGGGGGACAAAAAAATGATACTAGGTAAAAACTTCTATCCATAGAGGAATGAAGAGTACTATAAATAATAAATTTGGGGGTAAATAGAAAAGATACCATTTTCATTTCATAATTACTTTAAAATGTAATTGACCATCTAAAGAAGAGAAAGCTTTGTGGTTTTAATGCATTTAGAAATAAAATAGATGAGAACAATAGAAAAAAAAAGATACAAAGGGGAAATGTAGGTATCTAGCTGTAAGATTTTTGCATTATTTGTTAAGTTGTATAATTACTATAAGACTGTAATAAGCTCTTTTTAAAAGCACACTGGAAACCTTAGAACAACCCCTAAAACAATAAAACAGTAAAAATATAGTATAGCTAATAATCCTATAATGGAGATAAATGGAATTCTAAAAAGTAGTGAAGATACATGGAATACTAAGCAAATATAAAACTTGTCCAAGAGAAGGCAGGAAAATCAGGGAAAAAAGGAAGACTAGATGACAAGATAATAGATTAAAACCTAATAATTACATTCACTTTAAACAGTCCATGGAGAAGTCAGCAAACTTTTTCTGAAAAGGTTCAGATAGTAAATACTTTAGGCTCTATGAGTCACATATGGTCCCTATCAAATATTCTTCTTTATTTATAACCCTTCAGAAACGCAAAATCATTCTTAGCTTGAGGCTGTGGGCTGGATTTGGCCAGCATACCACAGGTTGCTAGCCTCTGGTCTAGATACTCAAAGGCGGTGATTATCAGACTGGATAAAAAAGTTAAGACCAAACTATATGCTGTTATATGAGATACACTTAAGTTAAAATAAAAGGCTAGAGAAAGACATGCCATGAAATGACAATAAAAGAAAGCTGAAGCAGTTATATTAATAAATAGAATGCAGGAAAAAGAATATTACCAAAGGAACATTTCATAATAAAGGTGTCAATTCATCAAGAGGATATAGGAATCTTGGGCCACCTGGCTGGCTCAGTCAGAAGAGCATGCAACTCTTGATCTCAGGGTTGTGAGTTCAACCCCCACACTGGGTGTAGAGATCACTTAAAAATAAATAAATAAACTTAAAAAAAAAGGACATAGTAATCCTAAATATGCATGCACCTACTAACAGAATTTCAGAACATAAAGCAAAACTGACAGAACTGTAACAGACAAATCAACAGCTGTATTTGTAGGTTTCAAAAGTCCTGTTTCAGGGCACCTGGGTGGCTCAGTTGGTTAAGCGACTCCCTTCAGCTCAGGTCATGATCCTGGAGTCCCGGGATCGAGTCCCACATCGGGCTCCCTGCTCAGCAGGGAGTCTGCTTCTCCCTCTGACCCTCTTCCCTCTCGTGCTTCCTATCTCTCATTCTCTCTCTCTCTCAAATAAATAAATAAAATCTTAAAAAAAAAAAAGTCCTCTTTCAGTTAACTGATAGACCGAGTGACAAAAAAAATCAGAAAAGATAGAGAAGAGTTGAGTACTTTCACAAAACACTTGACCTAGGGAATAAACACTCTATCCAACAATAGTATAACAATGCTTTTTTTTTTTTTTCAAATGCACATTGAGAATTAACCAAAATAGTCCACATTTTGGGCCACAGAACAAGTCCCAATAAATTTAAAAGGACTGATGTTACAGAGTATGTTCTCTGACCACAACAGAATTAAGTTATGAATTAAATAAATTAAAAATGAATTCTCAGAAAGATCTGAAAAAGTCCCCCAAAATTTGTAAGTTAACGAACACTCTTCTAAGTAGCCCATGGGTAAAAGAAAAAAGGGAATTTTGAACTCAAAAGTAAGAGAAAATTACGCAGAAAAAAGGAAAGAATAAAATCAGTAATCAAAGTAGCAATCAAAGCAAGGGCAAACTGGAGAGAAAAATCAGTAAAACTAAAAGCTAGTCTTTGAAAAGATCAATAAAACTGATAAATTGCTAGTATACTGATCAAGAAAAAAAGACAAATTATTAACATCAGGAATTAAGGGGGGGCATTACTATAGATCTGACAGGCATTAAAAGGTTAATAAGGGACTGAAAGTCAATAAAACATTCTGTTTAAAAAAAAGGTTAATAAGGGAATATTATAAACAACTTTATGCTAATAAATTTAACATCTAAATGGAAATAAATGAGTTTCTTGAAAGACACAAATTACTAATCTGATTCAAGAAGAAATAAAACCCAGGATGCCTGAGTGGCTCAGTAGGTTAAGCATCTGCTTTTGTCTGGCCCAGGTCATGGTCCCAGGGTCCTGGGATCAAGCCCCGCATCAGGCTCCCTGCTCAGCAGGGAGTCTGCTTCTCCCTCTGCCCCTCCCCCCGCTTGTGCTCACACTCTCTCCCTCTCTCGACTAAATAAAATCTTAAAAAAAAAGAAAGAAAGAAAAAAAAAGCCCCCCAAGCCCTATATTAATTAAAGAAATTAAAGTCTCCCCGTGAAAAAAACTCCAAATTCAGATGGTGTATTCACTATCTATTGCTGCTGTAAGAAATATAGTAGCTTAAAACAACAAATTTATTATCTTACAGTTCTGTATGTTAGAAGTCCAACAAGGGTTGCACTAGACTAAATCCAGGTGTCAGCAGGGCTCTGTACCTTTCTGGTGGCTTTAGGAAAGAGTCTATTTCCTTGCCTTGACTAGCTTCTAGAGGCCACTTACATGGGTCAGGGCCCCCTTCCTCCATCCTCAAAGCCAGTAACATTGCAGTTCTCTAACAGGAGTATACACATTACATTCTCACATCTCCCTCTGATCCTGATTCTTGAGATAATCAAAAATAACCTCCCTATCTCTAAATCGTTAATTTAATAACATCTGCAAATTCCCTTTTGCCACATAAGGTACCATATTCACAGGTTCCAGGATAAGCAAGTAGACAGACATATCTGGAGGTCATTATTGTGCTTACCACAGATCCCTATGTTGTTGAATTCTATCAGACAATTAAGGAAGAAATACTACAATTCAATAAATTCTTCCAGAAAATAGAAAAGGATGTATTTCCTGATTTATTTTATAAATTAAGGTGAAATAAAGACATTTTTATATTAAGAAAGCTGAGAGTATTTATCATCAAAAGAGACAAACCATGGGAAATGCTGAAGGAAGTTCTTCAAGCTCAAAAGAAATCATGCCAAACAGAAATTCAGATCTCAAGAAGGAAGAGCAATTAAAAATGGTATATATGTGGATAAATAAAATGTATTTGCAAATAATCCAATAAAGTATTTTTTAAGATTCTTTTGATTCCTTTGTTTCTGTGGATTTTCGTCGCCTGGCAGGTGGCACGCCGTGATCGTATAGTGGTTAGTACTCTGCATTATGTTTCTGTGGATTTTCCCCTTTTTAAATTTTTATATTGCACTTTCTCTTTTCTAATTTGAGATCTGTCTTATCTTATTAATGATAAGTTTTTCCTGTTTTCTAACACATACAATTTTTATCTTTATAAATTCCTTCCATATTTCCTTCTACTTCCTTTCAACTTATGTATTTTCATTATTTTTGTTAGAAGCATTAAAACTGTAACTTTGCCCTTAGAGTCCTACTTTAACAAAATCCCATGGGTTCCAAAATATAGTGCTATCACAGAGTGCCAGAAATTCTTTACTTTTAGATTATATTTCTTCTTTGATCCAGGAGTTATTGAGACAGATTTTACAAATTGTTGGTAAGAGTAACTTTATTTTTCTGATTTTGTTATTAAATCCTTGCTGTATTTCATTGTGTTCAAAGGATATGGTTTATCATTTCTACTTACTTGGGCTTTATTGTAGCCTAATATGTTATTTTTCCTGATTGATCTATGAACACTTGAAAAGAATGTATAATTATTATTACTAGGATACAGAACTGAATATATATCAATTAGGTGGATTTGATAGAGTGTTTCATCCTTACTAAATTTGTCCACTTGGCCTGACTTTGACTGAAAGGATTAATTAGTGTCCTCTACTACTTTCTTCTTCTTCTATCTGCCTTCCTATCTGCACACAGAAATGTGGTATTTGATACATGTGCATTTATAACTATGTTATCTTCATTTTGAAATGTATACCTTAGAATTACATAGCGTCCTTCTTTGCCATATATAGTGTCCTGAATTTCTGTCTGTTTTTAGTTTCCATTTGTTTGTTATAATTTATCCATCCTTTCATTAAACTTTCTAAGTCACTTAAGTGTCTCAGAGTCTCGTAAGTACAGAGAGTTGAGTTTTTCTTTGAGACTCAATCTAAAAGCCTTTTTCTGACTTAAAACTCATATATATTTATTGGTAGGACATATATTTATTTTTTGCTCTTAGTTTTACCTTGTAATTGTTTTTGTTAATTTGTTTATATATATATCCGTGGGTCTTAAATCTTAAGTCTGGTATTATATAAATGTATTTTTTGTCTCTCTCACTACAAGTTAAGTTCCACAAGGGATGATTTGTATGTGTCGGATTTTTTCCCCCACTGATTTATTCGTAGTTACCTAGAAGTAATATTTGTTAAATCACCTCATCAAACCAAAGTTCTGACAAGAGAAACATCAGTATTTCCCTTTTCAAAAGAATACTATTTCTGTTCTCTCCTTCTCCTGGCAGAGGTCTGAGCATATGAGAAATGAAAAATGATTTATTGAATGATTATAAGAACACTGGTTAGAAAGGAGAGGAGGAAGACCTTGAAGTTCTGAAACCAACACTTACTCACTAGTAAGTTATTGTATGATATTCAATCAGGCAACAATATCAGGATAAAGAATGCAAATATTCATAGGACTATAGAAAAAAGAAGACATTAGGAACAAAAAAATCAACTTACATGGGCCATTGTTTTTTTTTTTTAGAATTCAATGTATTAGTCCTCTTCTTAGTTCCACTTTAGAAGAAACTCACAGTCCAAAGAAAATATTGCTGGATGAGAGGGGTTTAAAAAAAAGACATGAGATGATCTTGCTTCTTAGCTGCCAAAGTGCTAATACAGAAGGACATTTTTCTTCCCCTTGCATGTCTCCTATGCCCAATCTCCATACACACATACATGAAAGATTAGAGGGAAATCGGACAAATCCCAACCTTACTCAAAAAAGAAGGGAAGCCAGGTATAGTAGAATGGAGTCAAGAAAGACTGGGCCCAGGCTTTTTAGCAGGAAAGATTTAGGCAGATCAGTGTCCCAACTCTATGATAAAATGGACACAACCAACCTGTTCAGACCTATCCTGACAAGATCTTCACTGAATTAAGAGGAAAAATAAAAGGAAATGGACATTACAAAAAGATTAGAGAAATAGAAAACAACCCAAAAGCCCTAATACATGACTCACAGGAATTTTAAAAATAGAGACTGATAGAACCCAGACAAAAAGAAGAAATAAACAAAACAAAAACTTCCAGGCCAGAGGCGCCTGGGTGGCACAGTCAGTTAAGCGATGGACTCTTGATTTCAGCTCAGGTCACGAGATCCAGCCTGTGTCAGGCTCTGCACTGAGCCTGGAGCCTGCTTAAAATTCTTTCTCTCTCCCTCTGTCCCCCCACCTCCACACGCACATGGACACGCACTCTCTCTCTATTAAAAAAAAAAAAAATTCCAGGGGCACCTGGGTGGCTCAGTCGTTAAGCGTCTGCCTTCAGCTCAGGTCATGATCCCGGGGTCCTGGGAACGAGCCCCGCATCGGGCTCCCTGCTCAGCGGAGAGCCTGCTTCTCCCTCTCCCTCTGCCTGCCTCTCTGCCTACTTGTGCTCTCTCTCTCTATCTCTCTGTCAAATAAATAAATAAAATCTTAAAAAAAAATTCCAAGCCAAAATAAATACTTGAGACTTTAATTTGAAGTCCTGGTGAGAAAGCACACCTGGAAGCATCCTGGAAAATCTTCTGAAATTTATTCCTGAATACATACAAAAGACCTAAATATCCTGTAATAAAGAATTACAAAACAATGTGTATTGTGGTCTAATCTTTCGGGGAAAACACATACATACATAAGCATATATGTATGCATATAAGGAGGGTGAAAGCACTTGTAATAAAATGTTCAAAGATGGGGCGCCTGGGTGGCTCAGGCGGTTTATTCATCTCACTCTTGGTTTCGGCTCAGGTCATGATCTGAACGGGATCAAGCCCCATGTGGGGCGGCTTCTCCCTCTCCCTCTGTTCCTCTCCCTGCTCACATGCTCCCTTTCTTTCTCTCTGTCAAATAAATAAATAAATAAATAAATCTTTTTAAAAATGTTTAGAGTGGTTGAAGAATTATAGGTAACTTTTACTTTAAATAAAGTAATATAACAAAAGAATTTTAAAAGCTTATATGAACATTCTGATAAGTAGCAGCACCTAATCATCTTAGACACTGATTCTGGATGTGCAACAGCGCCATTCTTTCCTCCTACCCTAGGTGTTTCTAAGGGGAATGGCGGAAGTAGTGAGGTAGATAAGAACTACGAGACACCAGGCCTTTTCTAAGTAATCTCTAAACCCAGTGTGGAGCTGAAGTTACAACCCCAAGACCAAGAATCCCATGCTCAAAAAATCTTTAACAACAACAACAAAAAGAATCCCATGCTCTATTGACTGAGCCAGCCAGGTGCCCCCCATCAGGCCTTTCTTGAAGCTCAAACTTTGTGTGACCCTGTGTGTGATGTGGAGTAGACATTGTTTGTGACCATGGTAACTACGATTCTATGACACTTGGTGATGTGTTTGAGCTCTTAGATAACTGTTGGGGATGACGGCTAAGTAGGCATAGGGCAGTTTGTGGTTGGGGAGTGGTTGTTTTTGTTTTACTATATATGTGTGTCTGCGTCTGGGGTAGTGGGATGATGATAAACGTGGGTTGTATTATGTCTTTTTGGCTTTGTGTAGTATGAATCTACAGTTAAATACTGGAATGTCTCCCTAACTGCCTGATTACGTGAGCCTGGGTGTAACGCTTTGTGTAATTGTGCTTTTTTTCTTTTATGCAAGTATCTGAGGCTCACACAAATAGCCACCTGCAATCATGGTCACAACCACATACAAACTCCATTCACACAAATGGCCACGCAAACAATTACACTGTCACAAAAGCACGATCCGAATCCAGTCGCTCTCACAACAAACGGCCAAATATACTTAGTCCGGCGACAAACTCATAGTTTCCTTCACGCACTCACAACAACCCAATCTATCCTCCTAGAGCAGCTCCTGCACTTTGGAGGCCTAACACTCCAGACACTCCTCTTGCCCAGGCCTGGAACGCCAGGAGTCCTTACCTTCAGCATCCTCAGGAAGTGCTCTGGTTCATATTCTATGATTTGCATTCCAGGTGAGGCCGCACGCTTAGCCTTGCACACTCCGCTGGTCGAGTAAAAAGCCCTCACCTGCCTCTGCGGCCGACCAGCCAACGTTCCTACCGGAAATAGCTTTGAACCGCTGTGTCCTCTGGGAAACGTAGTCCAAAAGGAAAGCGCCGGGGAGCTGAAAGTGGTAAATCTCCTACCGGGTTTCGGGATGCACCTGCGCAGTTTCATCGGGCCTGGAGTGAGGCTACCACTTCTCCCTTTCCAAGGCTCAGACCCGAAATTTCGGTCTGAATCCGGGTCCTCGGATTCCTCTGAGGGCGGATTTCAAGCCTGGCACCGTGGCTGTCCCTACCTCTCAAGGTGGACGCGCACGTGCTGTGGTTTGAGGGAATTGTTGTCGGATGCGGAGGGGTCCGGCCTTCGTCTGTAAGGTGGCAGTGCGAGATGTGTTTTCTGAGTCCGAAGGTGCGAGTGGCCGAGGGTGAGTTTGATCGAGAGGGAGAGGATGTATATGTTACACCGACTGAGTGTGTCCTGAATGAGGAAAGTAGTTTGTGAGACGTTTCTGAGACCGTTTGAAATAGTGGTCGTGCTGTATACCCGTGTGAGGCCACGCGCAGTGATTGTGAAGTGTAATATAACGTGGCTTAGGAGTGAGGAGCCATTTGAGACCTGTGATTGATTACGAGTGCTTGTGGGTGGCGCGACTATGCGGGCAGTGAGTTTGTAAAGTTTTGTGGGAGGCTGTTTGTGTTGGGTCTACCTATGACTAGCAGGAGCGGTTGGCTGCGGTAGGTGTCCGTCGAGAGAAGGGAGGAGGCTGGTCTCCCTGATGTACCCTGATGGATGAAACAGATACCTGGGCCAGGCAGAGCTGATCCTGAGCCTTACCTGTATGCGTGGGAGAGGCGTGAAGCGACATTGTGGGGTGCGAGAAACCAGAATTGACTGAGAGAGGTGGAAACTAGTACAGATTATCTGCCAGAAGAGGCAAATCTAAAGATTTTTAACCTTGCTAAAAGTACAGAAACCCCATCTCAAAGTGTCATATGAAGAAATTTGTCTGTGAGAACAAGTGGTTGTGTTTCTGGGTCTGATTCTTGGTCACGTGTATGAGTTGGTTTGTATTTGATATTGTCCAAGGTGTTGAGTGAAATATACAAAGTATGGGAAAGTGGTTTGTGACCGTACCCAAGTCTCTGAATGAATTGTATGACAGTGCAAGAGCAGGTGATTAAACATTGTGACTTTGAGGTTGATATATGTGAGTTTTAATTGAGTAGGATTGGGAGATCTTGTGAGAGATCTAGTAAATTTGTTTTTGTGTGTTTGAATGCAACTTATGCAAGTTAAAATCTGGATGGAAGATACGTGTGTGGTTGTGATCTGAATGTAGTAACTATATGAGAGACTGCAATATTAAGAGTGTGAGATTGAGAACTCTAAACCTCTTTACTTACCTCTAAAGAGATGATAGTTAAGCTTCCTGCAGCATAGGTTTTACTTGAAAATTAACTTTCCAGGGCGCCTGGGTCGTTAAGCGTCTGCCTTCGGCTCAGGTCATGATCCCAGGGTCCTTGCTCGGCGGGAAGCCTGCTTCTCCCTCTCCCACTCCCCTTGCTTGTGTTCCCGCTCTCTCTGCCTCTCTCTCTGTCAAATAAATAAAATCTTAAAAAAAAAAAAGAAATTAAGTTTCCTGTGGAAATTTTTAAAAATTTAAGTATAACTTAAAACGTGGATTTTAAAAATATGAAATAATTTATTGTGATGAATGCAAAATGATCATGAAAGATTTTTTGTTAATCTTTGTTATAGGGTAACTGGGAGTACGGTTAGTTTTCTTTGGTGGAAGTGAAATAGATGGGAAGTCTAAATTCTTAGTCGATCTGTATAAGTGAAAGAGTTCTATCTAGTCAAGTGAACAAAAGCCTAACTTGAATAATAAAAAGTCATGGACTGTCAGTCAATTCTTAAGACTTGACCCAGTATACTGACCCAGAACCCCTTGAATGAAAAACCCTGCTACACTGCCAAAAATTTGTGCTGATAATTTTCCCCCAGGCCTTCTTATAGGAACCCATAGCCTTTACCAGGGAGGCCATACTTTGAGGAAAAGGAAATAATCAGACCTTGGACACTGGCCTTGAGCTGACACTAATTCCAGGAGACCTAAAACTTCACTGGTCTACCAGTCAGGGTAGAGGCTTAAGGAGGTCTATGATCAATGTTGTTTTAGCCAAGGTCTATCTCACAGCAGACCCAGTGGGTACCTGAATCCATCCTGTGGTTTTTCCCCCCAGTTCTGGAATGGATAATTGGAACAGACATACTCAGCATGTCTCTCTGGCCGGTTGAGTGAGGAAAGGACAAGTGGAAACTACTAAAACTGCCTCTACCTAAAAATAAATAATAGACCAAAAGAAATACTGTATTCCTGGAGGGATTGCAGATATTAGTGCCATTATTAAGAACTTTAAAAATGCAGGGGTGGTGATTCCCACCATATACCCATTCAACTTGCCTGTTTGGCCTCTGCAGACAGAAATCTTGGAGAATGACAGTGGGTTATCATAAGCTGGTGGTGACTCCAACTGCAGCTGTTTTACTAGATGTGGTTTCATTACGTGAGCAAATTAACATTCCCTGGTACCTGCTATGCGATTACTGATCTGGCAATTTTCCCCCTCCATCTCTGTAAATAAAGACAACCAGAAGCAACGGTTTTCACTTGGCAGTAACAAGTAATATAGCTTCAGTGTCCTACCTCAGGGGTACATCAGCTCCCCAGCCCTGTAACTTAGTTTACATGTATAATAATTTAGTTCACAGGGATCTTAATTATTTTTCCCTTCCACAAGATGTCACACTGGTCAATTACATTGATGACATTATGCCAATGGACCTAGTGAGCAAGAAATGGCAACTACTCTAGATTTACTGATAAGACATCTGGGTGTCAGGGTTGGGAAATAAATCCAACAAAAACTCAGAGGCCTTCTACTACCTCAGTGAAGTTTCTAGCGATCCAGTGATGTGGGGCATGTTATGATATCCCTTCTAAGGATGAAGGATAAATTGTTGCATCTGGCTCCTCCTACACCTAAAAAAGAGGCACAAAGCCTAGTGGACCTCTGGATTTTGGAGGCAACCTATTCCTCATTTGGGTGTATTACGTTGGCCCATTTACCAAGGGATGTGAAAAGCTACTAGTTTTGAGTAGGACCCAGAACAAAAGAAGGCTCTGCGACTCTGCAACAGGTCCAAACTGCTATGCAAGCACTTTGCCTCTTGGGCCAAAAGGCCCAGTAAATCCAAGGGTGTTTGAAATACCAGAGGCAGATACTGATGCTGTCTAGGGCCTTTGGCAGGACCCTATAGATGGGTCACAGTTCAGGCCCTTAGGATTTTGAAGCAAAGCCATGCCATTCTCTGCAGTTAACTACTCTCCTTTTGAGAAACAGGTTTTGGCCTACTACTGGGCCTTAGAGACTAAACACTAAACCATGGGCCACCAACTTACCATCATAAACTGGGTGTAATCTGACCCAACAAACTATTATATTGGGTGTGCATAGCAGCACTTTCATAAAATGGAAGTGATGTATAAGTGATTGGGCCAAGTATGCCCTGAAGGAACAAGTAATCCTACTGGTCAGAGCTTTAAGCAGTGCACCTGGTTTTTGTTTTGTTTTGTTTTGTTTTGTTTTTTTGCTTGGAAGAAGAAATGGTCAGATGTGTGATTACATACTGATTCACAGGCTGTGGCCAGTGGTTTGGATGGTCAGGAACTTGGAAGGAACATGATTGGGAAATTCATGTGAAGGAAGTCTGGAAAAGAGGTACAGACCTCTTTGAATGGGTAAAAGTGAAGTTCTTTGTGTCGCATGTTAAAATGCTCAGCAGAGGAGGGTTTTAATAAAGTAGATAGGATGACCCAGTCTGTGGACACCAGTTGGTTTCTTCCCTCAGCCACCCCTGTCATCACCCAGTGGGTTCTTGAACAAAGTGGCCATGGTGGCAGTGATGGCAGCTGTCCATGGGTTCAGCAACATGGGTGTCCACTCACTAAGGCCAACCTGGTTACAGCCACTGCTGAATGCCCAATCTGCTAGCAGAGACCAACAGTGAGTCACCGATATAGCACCATTCTCTGGTGGCAGGTTGATTACATTGAACTGCTTCCATCATGGAAGAGGCAACATGTTTTTTCTTAATGGAACAGACACTCCAGATACAGATTTGCCTATATACATTATGCTTCTACCGAAACTACCATCAGTGAACTTACAGAATGCCTTATCCACTATCATGGTATTTTCCAAACAGCAGTGCTTCTGATCAAGGAACTCATATCACAGTAACTAAAGTGCAGCAGTGGGCCCATCCTCATGGAATTCACTGGTCTTCTCAAGATCCCCACCGTTCTGAAGCAGCTGGCTTGACAGATGGAGTGATGTTTTGAAGACTCAGTCACAGTGCCAGCTAGGTGGCAGTATCTTGCAGGGCTGGGGCATGGTTCTGCAGAAGGCTGTGTATGCTTCGGTGTCAGCATCCAGTCTCTGGTGCTGTTTCTCCCAAAGTCAGGATTTACAAGGCCAGGAATCAAGGGGTTGAATTGGGAGTGACACCACTCACTATTACCCCTAATTACCCAATAGCACAATTTTTGCTTCCCCTCCCCACAACCTGTGCTCTGCTGCATAGAGGTCTTAGTTCCAAAGGGAGGAATGCTTCCACCAGGAGATACAGTGATTGCATTTAACTATAAATTAAGACTGCTACCCAACCGCTTTGGGTTTCTCATCCCTCTGAATCAGAAGGCAAAGAAGGGAGTAAGTATGCTGGCTGGGGTGATTGATCTTGACTACCAAGGGGAAGTTGGACTGCTACGCCACAGTGGAGGTAAGGAGGAGTATGCCTAGAGTACAGGAGATCCTTTGGGGCATCTCTTAATATTACCCTGCCCTATCACTAAAGTGAATGGCAAACTACAAACTATAAAGGCAGGGTTACTCATGGGCCAGACACCCAAGAATGAATGTTTGGGTCACCCCACCAGGTAAAGAACCATGACCAGCTGAGGAGCTTG